ATTATTAGTATTGTCCTGTACAGTCTCTTGAAATGCCCATCGTGCCCACCAGCAGAATGTTCAGGGTGGTGAAGTCGGTTCCGGTCATTGACCAGATGTCCTGAGCATTTCCCGCACGGCACTAGAGACACTTCGAGAGTCTGTACAGACTATGATTAGCATAGGTGCGGTCCTTTGTTAAATGCGGTCGGTGTCGGAGGAAGGCGGACAATCAACACACCGTTATATTTACTTTCACTTTGTTTTATTTACAGTTGAATTCCTGTCTCCTCGTCCGCGTGTGTCCGATGGTGCAGCATCAGCAAAGCCTTCTGGGCGAAGCGTTTCCCGCACACCGAGCAGCAGTATGGCTTCTCCGCCGCGTGGACCTTCTGGTGTTTGAGGAGATCGGGCCTACAAGTGAACCTCTGGTTGCAGTCTGAGCAGCAGAAGGACCGCGAGCCACCGTGCGTCCTTTGGTGCTTCATGCGGTCGGAATTAGTGGAGAAGGGTTTGCCGCACTCGGAGCACGGGTAGGGTTTCTCTCCCGTGTGGATCCGGCGGTGGACAATGAGGCTGGCGCTGCAGTTGAAGCTCTTGCCGCAGAAGGAACACGAGTAAGGTCTCTCCCCGGTGTGAATGCGCCGGTGCACCGTGAGGTGGGCGTTGCGGTTGAACCGTTTACCGCAGTCCGGGCAGGAGAACGGCCGCTCCCCCGTGTGAACCCTCTGGTGCAGAATCAGGTGGGCACTGCAGCTAAAGCATTTCCCGCACTCGCTGCAAGGGTAGACCTGCATCCCTTTGTGTAGTCTGTGGTGGACGGAGAGAAGGGAGCTCGTTGGGAAAGACTCTCCGCACTGTGAGCACAGGAACGACCGCATGCCTTTGTGGGTGGCTTGGTGCCGGAGGAGTTCGGGGCCGCTACCAAAATTTTTTTGGCAGAAGAAGCAGTAGTGGGGCCTGGCCCTGATGTACGTCTGGCGGCCCTGCGCGTACTGCATCTCTGCAGAATCGGCATTCATTGCGCTTTTGGCCCTGAAGTGCGGTTCCTCTTTAATACTTGGAGGAGCAATGTACTGCGATAGGTCCAGAGGCGTGTACATGCTTGGATGGGAGGTGCTTATCTGCTCCCATGAGATGGGCTCCTCCTTAATATGGAGACGGCCGTATTCTGAGGGGGCATAAATCTCCGCGTGCGATAGATCTTCTTCTAGGAGGGGCTCCTCTTTAATATGAGTAACTGTGTACTGTTCCTCTTGTGTCAGGGTGGAGATGTCCAAGTGATGTAGATGTTCCTCAGGTTCCTCCTCAACGTGGACTGGAAACACTACTGGAGGTGAATCTGCTGGTGGTAAAGCATTATGGTCAGGTCTTCAAAATACCAATCTACCCTTCACCAAGAGACCCGGGGCTCCGCCTCTTACCTGGAGATGTGAGGGCCAGGTGGTCCTCCATCACGACGTCCTTGTAGAGATCCCGGTGTCCTTCTAGATACTCCCACTCCTCCATGGAGAGATAGACAGAGACATCCTGACACCTTATAGGAACCTGACACACACAATGATACCGTCACCACCCAGACACGCCCCTTGTCTGTTCCTGGATCATGTCCCAGAATCCCCGGCACCGCTCACCTCTCCCGTTAGCAGCTCGAGGATCTTCTTGGTGACCTCCAAGATCTTTTTATCGTTGTTCTTCTTGGGCGTCAGGGAACGAGGTAGAGACAACGTGATGGTCGTATGGTCATGGGACTTCTCAGATGGACTCTATATATGAAAATAAAAGAGATGATAGTGAGGTCACTTGACCCATACGGACCTCCTCACCTCGACGTGTGACTAATATACATAGGAATGATGTCATGTGACCCTCCCAGAATCCTCCTCACCTCTCCGGTCAGCAGGTAGATGATCTCCAGGGTGAGGTTTAGTATCCTCTCCGTCATCTCGCTCCTCTTCTCGTCCATCTTCAGCTCGGGAACAGCGCTGTGACACCTTCAGACCTAGATAATGGGGAGGAGACCAAAATCAGAGCAACCAAGTAACCGTCAGAGTCCACCCCTAGTGTAGGCCTTGTCTTACGTGGAGCCATAGTCCATGACGTGCTGTACATACCGTTCTATGACCTACCCTATGTTAGACTCGGCCTGTGTGTAAGCCAAGCATGTGCTACAGGCAAGCAGAGGCTACATCAGACTCCTGATTGCCAAGGCCGAGGACACAGCAGGTGGCCAGTTCTAAACTGGTGGTTATGCTGCATGAGGAGAAAAGGGCTACAGGAGAGCCAACCACCCGCCATGCATACCGGCCCATGCACTCTTGGCATTGGTTGGGTGCTCCAAGGTCTTATCAAGCATGTTGATATTCCAAAGTGGCCAAAATCCACGAAGCTGGGAGGACAATGTATGTCGGACTATCAGACGGGGTCACTGAGTTCAAGGAGGACAAAGTATGTCGGAGTATCAGACGGGGTCACTAAATTTAAGGAGGACAACGTATGTCGGAGTATCAGACGGGGTCACTGAGTTCAGGGAGGACAACGTATGTCGGAGTATCAGACGGAGTCACTGAGTTCAGAGAGGACAACGTATGTCAGAGTATCAGACGAGGTCACTGAGTTTAAGGAGGACAACGTAGGTCAGAGTATCAGACGAGGTCACTGAGTTTAAGGAGGACAACGTAGGTCAGAGTATCAGACGAGGTCACTGAGTTTAAGGAGGACAACGTAGGTCAGAGTATCAGACGAGGTCACCTAGAAGAACTCAGCCTTGCCAAAGTATTTTGGCAATACGATCGTGTATCAGACGCGTTTGGTGCCGTTGATGAGAGGCCATCACCGACGTTCGGTCATCTACAAGGTCAACCGCGGCCAAGTAACATCAACTACCGTTCCTTACTTTCTGATGGCTCTCCTCTCCAGAGCAAACGTGCCACCTATGGGGAGCCGGCGCGGTCGTTATAGACTTGCGATGGTAAAAGCGCGTGCATGCGTTCATTGCTGGTGCGTGCGCGGGGTCGTCAATCTTTTCATTCGTCCGACTGTTACAAAGAAGTCTCACGGCGGCGTTGAAAACGAACGAACGCGAGAACATAATCGGCAACCGGAAACGGTCATGGTCCATGTGGCCCTAATTGGATTACCTCACCGACCGCACGAAGAGGCCAAACACACCTACAACCCCTCGCGGTCCATCTACGACGGCGGCCGATCCACGCCGAGCTTTCTACGTCCGTCCGATCGTTGGTGGAGAACCCAAAATGACCGACCAGTCGTGTCCTCACCTCCTCTGGAAGGATATCAGTGGAGGAGGAAGAAGAGACTCCAAATCCAAGTTTAACCCACCACTTCCTGCTTCTGCGTTCCAAGCCTCACTCCCAGCTCCAGTCACCTGACTACAAGGTCACGCCCCCCAGCTTCCTGTACCCATGATGCACTGCAGGCATCCTCACTTCCTGTGGACAGCCTCGTCCATGTGAGTAGAGAAGTGGCTGCCGTTGATTTGAGCGTGAACGTACAATGAGCTGTAGGAGGACGCCATGATGGAGGATCATTGAAGGCTGTCACCAAATCGACGATTACAGCCAATAAGTGTTGTCTCTCGGGGGCCACGCAGGGGTCCCCTTCATCAGGCTCAGAGATGACCCCCCCCCAAAACCGCGTGCGATGTGACGAATAAAAGGTCCCAGAGCTGCCGCTGTCTACTCCAATGGCCCACCGCGGAGCCGTCGATGATCAATTCCTTAACAACGCACGGGCGCGCTACGGCAACGTGCGGTTTTCCAACTACCTAATAAAGTTGGCCCGTCGTCGTCTCGGAAACCGTCGGGGTGCACTGTGTCCAAGGTGTAGCTCCACCACGCTTCTCTCCGGAGAAGTGATCTCGCCCCCGCCCTCTAGGGTGCGCGCGTACCTGCTCAACCACCATGCCTCCGAGGTCGTGCGTCCGGTGTCGTCTTTTTCTTGCGGCAAGGTGTGCCGCGACCGGTTCGTGTAGCTCTATCTCTTCCCCTTTAAGTGATCTGTGCCACTGGCTACACGTATGTCGCTTCTGTGTTTTTGGAAGGCCCCACAGTCACCAGTGC